AACCAACTGATAAAACACAACCACTCAATAATCGTTGCAGGAGACTGGAACTCCAAACACCCTCTTTGGGGATCAAGGACTTCAAATAACAGTGGAATCGTGCTGCACAATTTCTCTGAAAGAGAAAGCCTCGACATTGTCGCACCTTCGTCACCCACGCATTACAGTCCACTCGGCAATCCCGATTTCCTAGACTTCGCTGTACTTAAAAACATTCCCTGGACCCCCAAGGCCAGAACCACCGACGATTTATCATCTGACCATCTCCCTGTAATCTTTGAATTGAATTGCCCAAAGGATGAATTCACAACCCAGCCCAGCCGAGTAACTAATTGGGTTCATTTTCAACAAGATCTAATCTCCACCACGCCCCCCAGACTCCCCTTGAAAACTGAAGTAGACATTGATTCAGCAGTTGGAATTTTAAACGAAAATATTAATAATAGCTACTCGAAAAACACCATAGTTTCATCTTCCAAATTAATAAAGAACCCAAAAACCAAAGCCTTAATAAGAGAGAAAAATAAAGCTAGGAAAAGATGGCAATCAACCTGGGATCCAGCTCATAGAGCTACTTACCTCAATCTTCAAGGAAAGGTAAATCAAGCCCTTGAAGCAGAGAAATCTGAAAATTGGAATAGCTTTTCAAGCAAACTTGAATCGAGCCCAACAGACTTCTGGAAAAAAATAAAACCCATTAGGAAAAAAACTGAAAAAATCACTAGTTTAAACGCAAATGGAAAAACCTTGCTGACCGACAAAGAAATTGGAAATGATCTTTCAGAGCATTTTTCCAAACACCTTTCCAAGGCGGAGGATGAGGTTCCGTCGTACCTAACAGATAATACTTGCCATCATCCCCAAGAGAATATACTATCAATGACAACGCCAAATGAAGTCAAGGAAGTGATTAAAAACCTAGGTAATCACAAAGCTCCAGGCCACGACAATATTACGCCGCAAATGACTAAAAACCTCCCCATCAAATGGATAGTTTTCCTCGCTGGGATCTTCAATGCTGCATTACACCTGTGCTACTTCCCGAAGACATGGAAACATGCCATTATCATAACCATTCCAAAAAAATCACCTGTCAAATCACCTGAAGATCTCAGACCAATCAGCCTTCTCTCTACCATCGGTAAGGTATACGAGAGAATCGTTCTTCGCAGATTGCAGTCATACATGGATTCTATTAACTTTATCATTCCTCAACAATTTGGATTCAGAAAAGGACACTCCACAACCCACCAGCTAATCACAGTAATAGACTACATCCAAATAAGAAAGTCCCACAAGGAGGCAGTAGGTGCTGTTTTTCTAGACTTTACCAAAGCCTTTGATAGAGTATGGCATGATGGCTTGATAGCAAAAATAACAAAAAATCAATTTCCAAGGGATTTTATCAAATTATTGAAAAACTATCTCCAGGACAGAACCTTTTCAATTAAGCAAGGGAATTATATAACCACGGCAAAACCAACCCAGATTGGAGTCCCTCAAGGTTCTATCCTTGGACCCTACCTATTCAACATCTACATCAACGATTTCCCTCCACATCCAAAATGTCAAATAAAACTTTTTGCAGATGACGCAGCAATTTTATCAAACTCCAAATCAATAGGAATAATAACTACACAGCTCCAAAATTACATAAACAGTATAACCAAATGGTGCAATGATTGGAAATTAGACATCATCCCAAAAGAGTCTCAGGCAATAATTTTTCCTCCACTAGAAAATAAAAAATTCAAGCCACAATCCATCCTGAAGGTAAACCAGAGCCCTATTAACTGGACTGACAGCGTTAAATATCTTGGAGTTACCTTAGACTCCAAGTTGAAATTCAACATGCATGTCAAAAATATCATAAAGAAAGCAAAAATCGCCAAAATAACATTATCAAGCCTTTTCAACTATAGAAGCAAATTGACTACAAAACAAAGGTTTACTCTATACAGAAGTTGTATCCTCCCGATAGTAACATAGGCACTCCCAGTTTGGTGCAAATATATTACAACCACAGACAAAAATAGGATAAACACATTCATGAGAATCTGCCTTCGGACAAGTATAGGAGCTCCATTCAACCTATCAAACAAGAAACTGAAGGAGGACTTGAACCAACCCGATCTAGAAGATATATACCAAACTTCCGTTAAGAAATTATACCTTCAAATGCAAAACTCAAATTATCCAACCATACAAGATATTCTACAAAATAAAGGAGATATCAATCCCCGATTCCGACGACCCGGCCCTGACACTTAGTAAAGAGCTCATCGCCCAACAGCTGCCCTCCTGCAAGGCCTAGGGGGACCACTTCTACTCCACCAACTCGCCATGTGTAAATAGCCAGGAAAAGGTGACTCGCGAGCTGTGCTCGAATGTAACACCTGTAAATTGAGACGAAATAAAATGAAATAAACAACAATTAGGGGCTCAAAAATCATTTATTATGGTTAGCAGCTCCGTAAATAAAGATATTTTTACAACAACATTTAAAATTGCATCATCATTTTTATAAAACAACAGCAAATTAAATTAACAATGTAAAAATATATTTTAACATTACATTTTAACATTTAACACAAAAACGTTACAATTATTTCTCTAAATATATATTAATATTGAAAGGCCAAGTATTTTTTACGTCATTGAAATATTATATTACTAAATTCTCAAATTAAATTTATTATAATTAGAAAACATTTTAAGCATTGTTACAATTTATAAATATAATTTCATCAGAGGCCGCTAGAGGCGTTGCTTGCGAGTGAAAGTAGAAAATTTGCAAATAAAATTGCAAAGAATATTTATTTCAAATCAAATTCAAACCAGAAATCTTCCCAGTTGTATAGTAAATAACTTCCTAAAGTTTCACGGCGATTGGATAATCTTACCTTTTAAAAACATTCATCGTGTGAACAAACTAACATTCATCGTGTAAACAAACCACGTGTTAATTATTAACCAATCAAATTCATTTATCGTCGCGACCAGTGCTGCGCCCAAGCGGTAAAAGGCTGGAACTAACGGTTTTCGGTTTTTTATTTTTTAAAAAAAGCACATTAACTTTTTTAGTTTTTTGAATAGCCTATATGTTAAACGAAATCTTCAGCTACCTACATGCGAAATTCCTTAATGATTGAGTCGGTAGATTTTGCCTGAAGCGATAACAAACATCGATTTCGCATTTCATTTTTATAGATATAAGGAAAGGAAGGATAAGGATTAAAACAGCAATACCATACAGTCATGATTTTTTATTTTTCATTTTAAAAACGACAACACTTCAGATTTGAAGAGTCAGTTAATAGAATAGAATTTTGTATCACGAGGGCCATAAGAACAAAATATTAGATATGCAAATATTTTAGGAGCGATTAGGCGTCTGCTAACATCAATCACAGAGTATATAAGACGAGACCTTTCTTCCAATATCACATCTTCCTTCCAGGTAAGTCCTTCAATATCGAATGAGGATAGCTTAATGGAAGAGTTTTAATATTTTACAAGGCATAGCTATATAGCTTTTATATTATATTTTATGTTAATTTTAAAAAAATATGAATTGAACTTTTGTAAATCTAGTTTCTATAAATTAAGTTTTTGTTGGGTATTATTCTCATATATTATTTGTTATTTATTCAACTATCATTTTCTGTGACTTGATAATCTGTTGTATTGAGAATGTATATATTTAAGCTAATATAGATTTGAGACATTTTATTCAACTATTCCAAAAAATTACAAGTTCAACATAGTAGAGGCTGAGAAAAGAATATTATAAATATTTACAAATTAAATATAGAATAATGAATGCAAATAGATTATAGTACACAGGGTTCTTCTTCTGTTTCTTTGGATCTGGGCCGAAGGACCTCTTTCGGGAATATCCATCTATTCTTGGTTCTTTCTTCAGGTTGGCATTACCTCAAACTCGAAGTGGGTATACTGCCTCGACTCGGTTGTAGGTGAGGTCTTTAGCCCCTATAGGGCCTTTGGGCCTTACTAGACTTTGATCTTGGCCAAAAGGCCGAAAGGCTACTATTGATAAGCTAATATAGAGAAGTTAATATAGATAGAAGAAAGGTGTGAATTAATAGATATAAATATTGGTAGAATGAGTTGTATCCTTCCAGTAAAGCTCAGTCCCCTCTCAGACACGATAATTGAAAAACCCCTCTTTACAGATCTGCCTTGACCGGTGTCGGCTGCACCCTCACTCCATCTCTGTGGTAACATCCAACATGTCTTATTCTTTTTGGCAATCCCAATCACGCCTGAACTCACTCTGAACATTTTGGCTACAACATATTTTTATATTTTATATATATAAAGTGCATTTTAGAGGAAAAAAATATAATTTTACGTTTTGAAATTCTTTGAATTAATGGCAGAATATCATAGGTTACTATCTTGGCAAAGAACTGACACATTTAAAATTTTACAAACCTAATCATATCAATATTTTACATTTATTCACCTTAGTTTTTTAAACATGTAGAGTATTGTTTCCTTGGATATAATTCAAATTGTCCATTGCATTTCAGGATGAAGTTCCTTGTTGCACTCACACTCCTGGCCCTCGGGTCACAATGCCTGGCCCGGCCCACCAACGACGACGACCACCACTGGGAGCGCTTCAAGGTTTGTATATTTTCGGAAAGAAGTTATCTTACTCTCATGAATCATAGAAATATTGAATTTCTATGAATTTGATCTCATTATACCAAGTGACTATAATTGCATATCGTTAGTTTATAATCTAAAATTGATTTCCCTTGATTATAAAGAATTATAAAACGATGATTGACAAGTGTCACCTCAAATGTTACTTATGAAAGAAAAATCGTGATTATTTAAAGGAGAAATAATGAATATATCTATCCTTAGGGATTAAGTTTGAAAGGTTAAATTGTGAAGAGCAATGATTAACCGAAAAAATAAAGGTGCCCAGGGTTACAACAGAGTTTCCGTTAAAAATGGGAAAATATGTCCAGGATATCCAAGTGGACATGGCATCTGCCTGGTAAGTAGAAAATTGTGGGTTCGTTTCCCATCCCTGGACACTTTAATTTTCCGTTTTTCATTACTCTTCACAATTGATTCTTTCTTACTTCATCATAAGAATAGAAATAGTCATTATTTTTCCTTAAAATAAATTACGATTTTTCTATTCAAAATAAACATTTGCCGGAAAACTTGTCAAACATCGTTTTACAATCATAAGCTTTAATATATTTGTAGGTTTGCGAGCGTAGGGTCACTTCCTTTTACGCCTCGAAAGCTAAAATTAAAAACAAACGAAGACCGTTGTTTACCGCGCGTTTATTTTCAAAGAACGCTTTAGAACAAAAAGCAGGCGACTGCCGGCGGCGCGCGCCCGTTGGCTGCTGGCGAGCACGTGACTTCCCTGTGCGCGCGCATGGCTGCCGGCGAGGTCAGTTTCACGCGACCGGCCGCCAGCGAGAGAAGCTTTTTCTTAATTACAATGTAAGTCCTTAACTATATTTACAGGTTTCTAATTTGTAACTATTTCACATATTTACATTCCGGCCCCCGATTTATGGAGCTGGTCTTCATGAATCTGCCTCTCCTTTCGCCAAGTTCCATTCTTAATCCAAGGAGGCAGATCTTTGTCACTGTTCACTTGTAGATCACCGCTTTCCCGTTCTGCTTGGTAGTGATTGTAGCAACGCGTACTTGGCCGTCAGGTCCAAAGTGTACATCGTAGACGAAACCGCGCTTCCACATGTTCCAGGGATGTAGCTCGTCTACGAGAAAAACTAGATCTCCAGTCCTTTTCGGCTCCTTCTGGTGATGCCATTTGCTTCTTGTCATGAGCTTGGGAATGTAATCACTAGTCCATTTGATCCAGAACTCGTTAGTCAACTGCTGTGCTCTTTTTTATTGCTCTCTCAAGTCGCGATTGTTTGCTTCAATTAAATTTGGATAGGAGGGACCAGCATCGTTAGCCTCACGAAGAAAATGATTCGGAGTGAGTGAGTCTTCCTTGGTAGGATCACTTGAAACGTAGGTTAATGGACGGCTGTTAATGATGTTCTCCGCTGACCTGAGGAATGTGAGTAAAGTTGTATCTTTTGGATTTACCTCATTAAGCGTCGCGCGCAGACATTTCTTCACTGATTTGATGAGACGCTCCCAAGCTCCTCCAAAGTGCGGTGCCGCAGGTGGGTTAAATTTCCATTTGACGGGGCCGAAACTTCCACTGGCAGCCATCACTTCAAAGTCTATTTCCCTAGCCGCAAGCTTGAACTCCTTACTTGCTCCCACGAAGTTGGTCCCGTTGTCGCTATAGATGGTGTCAGGCCTTCCGCGAGTGTCGATAAACCGGGAAAGCCCCATCATGAATTCGTCTGTACTCAAGGCGTGCACCACTTCCAGATGGATGGCTCGAGTGACGAGGCACGTGAAAATGATAACCCATCGCTTCTCATGTCGCCTTCCAACAGTCACAGTAAATGGCCCAAAGGCGTCTAGCCCAGTGAACGTGAATGGGCGCTGGTAGGCAGCAAGTCTGTAGTGTGGGAGTTGGCCCATCTCCAGAATCACTGGTAAAGCCCTAGAAAGTCTGCACCTGGGACACTTCCGTATTGTTCATAGAATCGTCTGCCTTCCATCTATCATCCAGAATCTCCCACAGAGGTTGTTCAGTAATGTTTCTGAACCTTGGTTCGCTCGTGCTCGGCCTGAATGAGTAACTCCGTGACGTGGTGATCGGAAGGGAGAATTGCAGGTGTCTTCTGCTCTGCTGGAACCTGTGCGACTTTTGAGGCAAATAGTCCCATTAATGAGGCATGGAGAAAGTCGTGCTATTTTCGCTTTCTTCACTATTCTACCCTTTGCAAGCTCTGCAATTTCTCTTGGAAATGACTCAGTCTGCACCCACTGCACAATTGTCGTCACTGCTGACCTGTATTCTTTGGGGCGGACAGTGAAGCTGTGCTGCCGTACTTTATTATTTTCCATGGCAGCTTTCCATGGTGGATTCAACTCACCGCCTTTGTGGAAGGTCTTCTTGTGCCAGAATCGGGCGGCCTTTTTAAATGCCGCGGCTCGACAGAATAATCGGTTGAGGGAGCTGAAATCTTCAATATTCAAGACTCGTGTCAAAGGACGGTGTAGTCTTGGCCTTTTCCTTTGCGTCTTGTCCCTCCAGAGTTTGGCTGCTTTCCAAACCACCATGACACAAAGTTCGATATCCGCAAATGTTTCAAACTTCTTCTCAGGTAACAGGCGTTGACTAATTTTCCTTATCAGCTTGCCTGATTTCCATCCGCACTCTACATCTGAAGACGGGCTGACTCTGGAATCGTCCCCAAGCTTTAGCATCCGAGTCGCTAAAATAATTCCTAAGTCTTTGCCTTTTGCTTCCTTGGGCCACTCCTCTTCTGGTCTTTTAATGAATTCTGGCCCAGTGTACCACATGTCCGTAGGTTCAAATGAAATCTCTGTTTCAAATCTGGTCGATATATCAGCAGGATTCTCGCTTTTTGGAACCAATCTCCAGTCGGTTCCTTTTGTCGCTTCCTGGATCTCGCCGACTCTGTTAGCCACAAACTCCTTGTAGCCTCCTGCTTCAGAGCGGATCCAGGCCAGAACCGTCTTGGAGTCGCTCCAAAAAACCTCCCCGTCCACTTTTGGAAGTCGCAGTTCGGTATTTTTGGTATGTTAAGCTTCTTCAATGGGGCTACTCTTGCTTTGGAGCCAAAGAGAGTTGTAGTAATGTTTCCATTTCTCGTTTCCACTCGCAGGTAGGTTACAGCGGAGAAAGCTTCTTGGCTGGCATCAGCGAATGTGTGGACCTCCACTTGTCGAATGATACTTCTGTTGAGTAGGTCTGGATGGTAGCACTGTGTCACTTGAACGAGATGAATTTCTTTAAGCTTACTGAACCACAGTTTCCACGCTGCATAGATGTCTGACGTGAATTCCTCATCCCATCCAATACCAGCAATACACGTTCGTTGAAGAATAATGATTCCCTTTATTTTGAAATGGTTGACCATTCCAAGGTGATCATAGACACTCATCCCGAGACTGCATGCCTGACGTTTTATAGGTACCGCTTCTTCCAGGATCTCTGGGGGCACCTTATTAAGTCCAAATTTGAATCCAAATATATCCTTCGTTGGATCCCACCACATACCGAGCAAGTTTCCTGCAGGAATGACGGACTTCTCGTTCAAAGATTTCACCCCTTTTGCACGAAGATCTTCTGGGATTGACTCAATGACTGCCCTGGAGTTGCTGTTAAGCTTGCATAGGTGGAATCCTCCAGCTGCATTCACCTCAGAAAGTTCCCTTCTCAAGTCCATGCATTTCTCTTCTGAGTGTGCACCCGTCAGGCAGTAGAAGTCAACGTAGAAGTCGTTCACAATCGTGTGCGCCAATTCATGATTTACCAGCTCAGGCTGCATGGCGTTTTCATTCTTCACGTGGATTGCTGAACACGGTGAGGAAGTGGCCCCAAAGATCAAGTCTTGCATTTCGTAATGATCCTGTTCTATCGACGTATCCATGTTTCTCCATAGAAAACGCTGACTGCATTGGTCTTCTTTGATGACGCGAACACGATGAAACATGTCCGTAATGTCTCCAGTTAGCGCGATATTGTGAACTCTAAAGTTCCACAAGACTGATGTGAGTGAGCTAATTAAGTCTGGTCCTTTTGAAAGAGCTTCGTTTAAAGACACGCCATTCGATCTTGCTGCAGCATCAAAGACAAGGCGTAGCTTTCCCGGCTTATTTGGGTTGGTGACGCCGAAATGGGGAATCACGTCCTCTCACTTCCTTTAGTGACTTCAATGCTGTCCAGCTTTCGAATGTACCCTTTCTCCAGATATTCATAAAACTTCGCTTTATACGCCGCTAGATGTAATGGATCTTTTGCAAGCTTTCTTTCCGTATGGCGAAGCTTTCCAAGAGCCATTTGATAGCTCTTGGGTAGTGTACCCTCTGCGTCACGCCAAAGTAGACCGGTCTCCTAACATGCTTCGGTCCTCTTGGTGGTCTTCTGCAGGATGTCGTACGCGCGTCCTTCAACTTGATTCATGCCCTGCCACCTGGTTTTCGGGATGACTCCAAAGTTCTCAGTGGAAAATGATGACTTGATCAAATCATGGAGATCATTATCGCTGACTGGTTCCGAAACTGTGTAGTTGACGCATCTCTGTGTCTCCATTAGGTTATCAAAATTTCCTCCAACAGTCCATCCCAGCGGTGTTTTCCATCCGATTGGAGCGTCGGGAGGACCCAAGGCAAGCTCGCGGTGAAGGATTAGCCTCAGATTGTTTATTCCGATAATCAGCTCAGGAACAACATTCTTTAGGTCTCGGGCTTTGACCTTGTTTAGATGTGGCCATTTATGACGAATTTTCTCGATTGAAATCGAGTAAGGTTTCATCTTTAGACTACTCACAGTAACTGCGTTTTGCATTGGGAGGTACGGAGCTCCACAGAATGTTCCATCTAGTTCACAGTTGACCACCATAGCGTTCGGCTCCATTACCGTTTCTACACTGGCTGTACCGTAGCTATAGTGATGACTTTTCCCTTCCAGGCCAACGCTGTCTGCTAAACCTTTTGAGATGAGGGTTAGGCTGACTCCGGTGTCCAGTAAAGCGTAAGTCCTATGTTTTCCATAGTTACCTTTATTGACAACCGGAATTATCGGCAGTGAACCGTCGCATCCTTTTATTACTGCTTCTCCATTAACAACAGTAATGTTCACTGAACCGCTCGTAAGATTAGCTTGCTGGCTTGAGCTGAATTGTGAAGTCTTCTGACTTGAATTTTCTCCCTGTGGGGCGGAGTAGTTGTGAAGTGAACGGTGATCTATCTTCTCACATCCGTTAATGTCACAGATCTCTTTTTTGAGGCACTGCCATGATCGATGGCGTTCCTGGCGCAGACATGAAGTGCACAACGATGGTCGCGTACGCTTGATGATCTCCCACTTTTGATTAAAATCAAGGTCTTTCCACCTGTCGCACTTGCTTAATGTGTGTCGATCTGAGCATGCTGGACAGGAGTAATGCTTATTCTT